AATAGTTTACAGTACTACCTCGAAGTAGCGCTATTTCAGAGTAATTGAAATCGAAATCTTGGTTTTACTAATAAATTTAAATTTAATCACAAATACAAAATAAATTGATGATAGAAGAAAATGTTTAAAAAATGATTAAATAAAAATTTAATGAGGCCGAAGGTCATGGGTTCGAATCCCGCTCGTGACACTTGCTTTTTCAACTCAACCAAGACCTTAGATTAGAAGCCTAATTAATTAAAATAAGAAGAGGGTTCTTTAGATATCAACATTTCTATTTTTTCCGAAGACCGATCAGTGAGGTTGCGATAAGTTAGTAGGTAAAAGTATGCCAAATAAATACCCAGCTTACTACAACATATAGATTTTATATACCTTTTTCCTTTACTATGTTTAAAAAAGCGTAAAATTTTTGTTTGTATTTTTCATAAAATCGAATGAACTTGATAAATTTTAGCACAAGTTTATTTCCTGACTTTTTAAAGAAAATGTCTAGAGTCGAGGCAGTATTTTTCAGAGACATTTTAGATGTAGCCCGGTATTCGATCGTGTTATGGACACGGGCTTAATTTATTTACCCAAGAACATTGTTACTTCTACCTACTACCTAACTGCATCCTGATCGGTCATGAAGACTGATCGGTCTTCGGAAAAATTGAAGTGTCGAGTCTAGCCGAAGTCTTGGTTGAGTTGAAAAAGCAAGTGTCACGAGTGGGATTCGAACCCATGATCTTCGGCTCAATACGACGCATCTCTAACCATTTAATGTCACGGTAGCTCAAGTGCCTAGGGGGGGGCGTTCGAATCCCACTCGTGACACTAGCTTTTCCATCGCAACCAAAACCTTAGATAAAAGTATAAATAATAAAAATAATTAATACGGTCAATTATACCTATTAAACACATATATGGCTTATCCTGATGGTTTTACCGTTATCTATATTCTGGTCTGTCTACCCTCGATGATTTTTGTTAATTCAGACGCGTTTCGTCATTTATTCATCTCGCCAGGGTTTGGGTGATTTTGGATGACTTAGGTATGATGTCGTGGATGGTAGAAGGGGCTGTTGTGTTTTAGTATTGTTTAACAATGTGTTGATGGTTATTCAGATATCGTGAGATGCGGTCGGGTGTGATGTAGGTTTCAGAAAAACATTTTCTTTATCGTGCCAACGTTTCGATCTTTATTGAGATCATCTTCAGGGCCTGGGATTTACAAACAATGTTTACATTTAACAAATACATTTAGGATGTGGAAAAGTGAATTTATACAATGCAAAATATATTTTATATTCAAACAAAGAAAGAAGATGATCTCAATAAAAGATCGAAACGTTGGCACGATAAAAAAAATGTTTTTCTGAAACCTACATCACACCCGACCGCATCTCACGATATCTGAATAACTATCGATTAACGGTCACTAATCTCTACACATTTCTACAATGTGTTGATGTATTAAGTCGGGGTTTTTTCGATCTTCGGTCCTTTTCCTTTTTAATTTTTTAAATGGTGTAAACGATGTTTGTGAGTTATTGTTAATTTATGTATTTATAAGATTTTTAAATTGCAGGTGTTATGTTTATATATTTCTAAGTTTTCGCATATGTACATTTTAGCGTTTTTGTAGGAGTTTCGTACTTGTTTGGACTGTCGCTGGTTCGTAACCTTATTCTTGTGGTGTCTTCCAAGGTAGTGTTTTGTCTCCCACACTTTACCACTTGTTCACAAGTGTGCCCAGTTCACCCTGACCTTTACATGCGATACAACGATCCTCTCAATCACTATTCCAGTTTAATTCAACAATATTGAAGATTCCCAACTGCGGACAAGAAACGGTATCTAAGACTATACACCAATAGACATCGGACGGGATCCCAAACAGGACTCAAATGTCAATAAGTTATTACACGATAGCTCTGAACAAACTTCTCACAAATTAAAAACTCCTTTAGATCACCTTAGTGAAGCCAATATAGCCTAACGGGCTGGAAGTGTGAGGTTCAGCCAAATATTCTAATATTATTCCCATCTAAATAACATAATTCAAAATCTTCCCTAATCCTCAGAAATATCCTTGATGGTCCATTGTATGGGTCCAACAAAGCAACCCAAACAGGCTAAATACCCAGAAATATTACTTTTGTCCAAAATCTAATCTACTTCTGTTACCGCATATTGTAATGTTCTATAAATAGAAAGGTTTAAAAAAATAGATAACGTTGCATTTTTAGAAAGTAAGCTTATGCTAAACAAAACTATTTCAAGTTTTTATAGGTTTGAGTAGTTTTTGAAAAACAAAAAACAAAAAAGAAACAATGGGGGATACACTATACTTTGACACCCTGTGTACAGGTACAATTGCAAACCATGTATACTATCGAAAATTGAAAGTACACTTTCAAAATAATTTGTTAATTTTCAACCAAATTTCTTGACTTTTTTCCCAATTTTAAGTATAAAGTAATCTAGTTTCATAAACTGCTAAGAAGAAAATATGGCAGTATTTGAAATTAGAGAGTTATATTCGATTTCGGTAATGTCCTGCATAAAAATTACAGAATTGATTCAATTTTTACACTAAAAACTAAAGAGTGTTACCATTGACAATTTTTCTAGCTATTCTTGATTTTGAGAAAGCGACATCCTTTGACATCCATTTGGGACATCCTTTTTCTATAAATTTTCATTTTTAAAAATATTCTCTTTTCAAATTATACAAACGATGACATTTTTCAATTTATATTACGGTGTTAATTTTGTCCATGCTAAGAAACAAATTTATATCAATTTATAACACTTGACGGGTTAATTTCACTTTATGCAGATTTAAACTAAAATTATTCCACCCGAAATGCGATTTGCATTCGACCCAGTTTCAACCGTGTAACCAGCCATTTAGCTTTTTCTTTTAAACAATCAGTTTAATTTATTTATTAAACAATTTTGTTACCCGATTTATTTTCTATATTTTACCTAGAATTAACGTTACATGGTTGTTGGCCATTTGGGCATAATAAATCCTCTTGTCAAAACAATGGGTTTTAAGTCGAGAGGCTTTGTTACTTGTTCACATGCGAAACAAGCTCAAATTAAGCAGAAGGCTAAAACTTGCAGCTGGAATTTTAAGGAGGGCCGCAGACTGACCGCAAATTAAACCCATACTGGACAAAGGGAACAAATGAGGCACAATATCGCCACCGACCCCTTTTATTAAATGTTCCAATTCCTGTGCAATCTTCTAAAGTATCCAATTACCACTTGCCCTATGGATTTGAATACTTATCTTACAATACAACAGGTGGGTGTTATATTTAATATTGCTTTTTTTACTTAAGCTTTCCGAAAATTAAGCTCTTAAGAAGGGAAAATGTCGAAACTCGTCGTATAGAAAAATCCAGCGAGAATAGGAGAAACCGAGATGACAATTTATTCGATTTTAACAAAGGTATTTCAACTATGAGGTTACATGAACCCTCGGAGTGTCAGTTTTCACGAATTCTTATGTGATCAAATTGGGGGTTATCGGGAAAAAAGGGCCAGAGGCGACGGTGGGAATCGAACCCACGACCGCGGCGTGAGAGTCTCTCATCCTAACCACTCGGCTACCGCGGTCCCCGGGTCGGAGTGTCAGTGTTTTTGAGAAAATAAGATCAGTTTGTAAGTATGTCGGGTTCGAATGCGGGGCCAATGGGTTCGAACCCAGCACCTTTACCTTACAGTGATGATCGCCGTGTCAACGCCTAAACCGTTGCGGCCACCGACGTCAATGATAATAAAACGGCCCGAATAAAGGTCCATCGTCCCAAAGACGTTTACGCAAATAAAATTAAAAGTCTTCTCGTTTAACTGATCTTTTTTTAATTCATGCTGTTATTTACACCTGTGCTAATTGCTGCGATTAAGTAAAACTGATGTTCAGTTGGTAACGGCCTCCTGAATATTAACGTTAATCACCATCATTCTCACTTAGAACGTCGCAAGGCAAGGGACGCTTCAATAATCAGGGACGATCTGAAAGGATTTTTACGATGGGAATCGAACACACGGCGCGCCTCTGGGTTGGATGCTTCGTTAGTTTCTTTAAACCCGAATGTAGAATGTCCATATGGGTTATAATGTAGTGATGTAAATGAGGTGGTTTTTAGAATAATAGGCAAACTGACATACAAAAAGTACTGAACAAAGCAACAGCATAGATGCCATGAATAGTCAAGCAAACAAAACACAGAAATGTGTGGTGATTAGGGTCCGTTAGTCGATGATTATTAGGAAATCGCGGACTGGTGTGATGTAGGTTTCAGAAAAACATTTTCTTTATCGTGCCAACGTTTCGACTGTTTATAACCCATAAAAAATTTGCAACCTAATTTACTAAAGAAATTATACATATTTCAACAGAAATCAAACAATTCACTAATTAGTAGAAATTTCATGGCCCGCTTGACCAATTAATATATTACAATTAATTAAGGTTTTTAGTTGAGATAAAAAAGTCAATGGCACGAGCGGGATTCGAACCCACGATCTTCGGCTAGAAACGCCGCTGCTCTATCACTTGAGCTATCGTGACCTCGATCCACTCGGACATCAATTTCCTATCTCAACCACCTTATCAGTTTTCCCTCCTTTTTGCCATTTTTCAGTCAGAGTGGATCGAGGTCACGATAGCTCAAGTGGTAGAGCAGCGACGTATCAAGCCGAAGATCGTGGGTTCGAATCCCGCTCGTGCCATTGACATTTTTATCTCAACTAAAAACTTTAATTAATTGTAAAAGTAATATTGTTAGATTTTGTGGTAGGCCAAGGTTGGCCCGATATGCAGTGAATTTTATGTGAATTCTAAATATAAATATCACCAAAAAGTACCTTCTACCTTATACTTCCAAAAGCAACCCGATTAAGCAGGAATGCACACCCAAAACTGAAGATGAAGAAAAGTCGAAACACAACTATAACTGTGAGATATTAAGCTGTAAAATAAAATATATTTTTTTAATTTAATATGAATTTATTCATCGTTTGTTTTCTTACAAATTCAGTACATAATTTTGCATAATTTTTTCGTATTTTTTGAAACAGTATGTTTAGGTATTTTTGAAGACTGAACAATCTTACACCTTTCAAAGATATTTGGATGTTCTGAGGTACATATTTCGGGAAGAAACGTAAATCCTTCACCAGCTGTCCGGATTGAATTTGCTAGACCACATGTTCAGATATTCTCTTGTGAAACGTAACACACCCGACCCTTTTTGTGTAAACTGGGTCATTTGACGATTAGACAACGCCCGACATCACGTCTTATCGCGGACGCGGCAAAAGTTGGTGGAGTTTACCTGGGATGTCCGGCATCGTCTTTTTCACCTGATCCTGGGCCGGCATATTTTTCTTTATTCTGGGCGCTATCAAATTCGCTTCATGGGAAACACTTCGCTCGTTGACCGTCAAAAACATATTCGGCAGTTTTTCGTGATAGAGTATGATAAGTTTAAGAAAGAAGTAATGCTGAAATTCCTCTGACGATGGAAAAAGGTAGTGCAGAAAATGGCACATATGTAAGTTATTAAAATTATCTTTTTTTTTTAACTGCACAAAATAACCATCGAAAATCGTGTTTTTATGTCGTCAGAAATTATGAACGAGAAATATATTCAATCTACACATAAATACTAATATGACTGTGGCTTTAATGAGAAAACGTTTTTATCCAATCATAGATATTTTGTATGAACAATTTTTCCCACCCTTTGAACAAGAGTTTGCTGGTAAATGGAATGAAATTTAAATTTGGGTTTCCTTTATAGTTCACATACAGTTAGGATATCCGTGAGCAAATCCAATAACATTGGTAGGGGGGCGTCGGTGGCCGCAACGGTTTAGGCGTTGACACGGCGCTCATCACTGTAATGTAAAGGTCCCGGGTTCGAATCCAGCGGCCCTGCATTCGAACCCGACATACTTACAAATGGGCTTTTTTTCAAAAACACCGGCACCCCGAGGGTTGATATGACCTCTGCTGTTGCGAACTCTCGTAAAAAAACACATAAATAAATAAAACACCGGCACCCCGAGGGTTGATATGACCTCTGCTGTTGCGAACTCTCGTAAAAAAACACATAAATAAATAAAACACCGGCACCCCGAGGGTTGATTAAAAAAAAAAAATATTGCAAAATTTCGAAAAATAGTGTATTATTTATATAGTTGTGTTTATTTATTTTTTACGATGGTTTGTAACAGCACAGGACATATCAACCCTCGAGGAGGCGGTGTTGTTGACGAAGAAAAGGCCATTTGTATTTACGTCGGGTTTGAATGTAGGGCCACTGGATTCGAACCCGGGGCCTTTACCTTAACAGTGAAGAGCGCCGTGCCAACGCCTTTACCTTTGCGGCCACCGATACCCCTGATAGTTTTATTATTTTAATATTTTTTGCTTTTTGCTGGACACTCACCAGTTTTTATGACTACGCATAGCATTTTTGCCATTTTAATTTTTACTTTTAAAAAAATGGTAAATCTAAATATAATGAATTGTGTAAAATGTTCGCTACATGACGCAAGGTTTTGCACTGGAAGGAATAGATTCTGGAGAAGTCGGTTGCTTTGGCTGTACCACATACTAGTATGCATGTCCAGATCGGTTTATGAAGTTTATAGATTTATATTTTACTAATGCGAAGAAGTTTTGGTTGCCTGCCTAAGAGTTGGGGGGAGGTGTTGATTAATTGAAAATTTGGCTCTTTGTTTCTACTTTATATAGGGGCTTTGAGTTACCGAAGTTCCGTCGTAAGTAGCGGAAACGGTCAAACATGGGGGCAAGAAATACTGGTAAGATATACTAGAAGTAGAATTGCTCGACGTAAAGTGAAGGTTACATACATATACATCCTGAACTTAAGACGTGATTTAAAAGCATGGGAAGATATTAGGTCAGTGAAACAGGACTGTTTTGACACAACCTCCCGAAGAACTGTATATGGCTCAAAAGTTTCGTTCGAGGTAGGACATTTGGACGAACTAAAAATAATATAATAGTATGTAGGATGCCTTTGGAATTAAATAGCAGGATTCCAAATTCGATTGCTTCCACAACGTTGAGAAGCAACCGGGCAATATCTATCCTTTTCAAAGGAGGAGGCGATGAATCTACAACGTGGGGACTTAGCTAATCTGTAAGTGAGGGTGATGGAAATCAAACTGATGATAAAAGACTATAAGAATGGAGCCAATTTAGTTTAATACGTTGTAAGAGGTGGTTGTAAAAGTTTACTTACCAAAAGAAGATATATTTTTTGTCTTATTGAAAGGTCAAGAACGCCACTGTCTCATGTTTATATTATGAAGCCAAGCAATTATTTGAGGTAATCATCATACATCATCCTTGTATGACAAATTAAATTGTTACAGACATGATCTGCTCTACAAACGAACATTTTTCTAATCGAATCCTTTTGAGGATTTTGTATCGTTACAAACGATATTTGTATCGTTAATAAGATGAATCAAACGTGTGCCAATTATAGCCATGGTATACATTAAGAAAAAGTTACTGTCTAACATCAAGCAATTAAAATGTAGTCAAATCTACCTGATTAAGAACTACCAACTGTCCCTTACTACCGCAATCCGGTCCCTTGGCACTAAAAATGCAATAAATCACGAAAGGGGCAGCTTCGGAGGGCTGAATCGGCGCTCGTGATCTTTGTCGATAGGTGGCTGTCGGATATGTCTCGGAGTAGAAGGATGATCCTCACTCAATTAAGGATAGACCATGGGAGGTTGACACACTGACAATTACTTTTAGGCCACAACCATCGTAAGTGTCCTGCATGTAGGAAGGTTACTCAATCTGTCCAACCTAATTGAAGGGTGCAATTGTCGACTCCATATAGAGAGCTCGTAGGACTGCGTAGATATGAAAATGGTGCTTAAGCAAGGCAGCAGGTATCTGGGTCCCCTCTTACAATTCTTGGAGGAAGCATGATTGTTTCGTTGTACATGGTTCTGATATTTTTCCGTCCCATAGTGTGTGTGAATGTGACTATACTTATTAGCGTGAATGTGTTGTGAGAAAGATGGATGGCGGAGTACTGTGTACCCCACCGGTCCACACTCAAGTACGCATTTCCCTAGTAACATCCAATTAACAATTATCCACTGCGATCCGGCCACGTGGCACTAAAAATCAATAAAAACACGAAAGTGGCAGCTTCGGAGGGCTGGACAGGCGGAGAAGTTCTAGTGATCTTTGTCGATAGGTGGCCCTCGGATGATATGACTCGGAGAAGAAGGATGACCCTCACTAAATTATGGATACAAACCCTCGTAAGTGATCGGCATATAGGAACGTTACTCGATGTGTCCAACCTAATTGAAGGGTGAGAGCGCCTAAAAAATGCGTAGATATGAGAATTGTGCTTGAGCAAGGCAGCGAATTTCTGGGTCCCCTCTTCCAATTCTTGGAGGAGGCAGGGTTTTTCTGATATTTTTCCGGCTCATAGTGTGTGTGAAGGTGAATGTGCTTATTAGCGTGATTGTGTTGTTTGAGAGATCAATGACGGAATATTGTGTACCCCATCGACCATCAAATAGGTTAGATAATTAGTAGGTGACGGGTGATAGAGGAATATCGAGTTTTCTACCGTCCTAAGTGGGTAAATGATATGCAAATAAAAAAAAATTACGAGTTAGTGTGAATGGGCTTGGATTTTGCAACTAGGGGCAAAATTCTAGAGGCTGCCTGTAATTTATTGTAAATAACAAAAGCTGGAATTGCCAGTAGTCTGTGAGATGTGATAGTTTCAACACCGCACACACAAAACTGACTAAATAAGTATAAGAAGAATAAAAAAAAGAATATTTAAGTGTTTTAATTTTGTACATGAAATATTTAACTATAAATTTCTATCTGTGATGAAATTATATTACAATTAGTCCGTTAAAGAATAAAATTTACATTAAATATTCATAAATAATTAATGTGTCTGATTTTTCCATATAATTTTGATTAATTAAAAATGATATAAGTTTTAATCAATTACCGCATTATTTTTCCCTTCAAAAGAAAAAAAATAGGGCACATTGTCACTAATCCATAGCGTGTGTACTAATGATTACAGTGTATATTTTTTTAACTTTTCTTTTAATATTTTCAGGTATCTTCAAGTCACTCTTTTATTGATTGTGGTCGCAACAATGATTTCGACCGTGTCGTCCCACGATATGTTTGCTTCGGGCCTCAACCTGACGGTTGGGAGTATCAATTACATGTCCCATATGGGATTCAAAATAGTCGGCCGATTAAAAATTTGAAAAAGCAACGCACAGCAATACTGGAAAAATGTTTTTATTGAATAAATAAAGACGGATAATTAAATGTAATAGGATAGAAGGGTTTTGTTTTAAAGACAATACTGTACTTTCTGTTGATATAGTTGTTTTGGACTATGTTCAATTGTGTTGTACAATATAAAAATTGACTTACATTTTTACTTATTGCCAATATTATTTATTAACCTATTTACTTAGTTCCGTTCAAAGATTTTGTGTGGTCAGAGGCGAGAGGTTTTAACCGATAAGCATAAAAGACATTATTCTAAAATGCCATGGTGGACAATAAATTAGTTTATTTAAATCAAACATATCAGCTATTTCGGACATACCCGATCGAATGCGTGTGCATCCTAGCAGAAATTATGATTTCAGCCAGTGGTAATTGGAAAACATTCCATATGAAGTAAATAACTGTAATCTTCTGGTTTATCGTACCGTTTATGATACATTTCACAGATTATTCGACCAATTCTCGCTTAAATAACGGTAAAATAATTGTTCCCTGACTCGAATAAAAAAAAACTAATCCAGGACATAAAGCATTGATTATGAAAGATCCGAACTATATTTATGGTCGTATTTGTGGAAAAGGAGAACACGAGAAGCCATGTCCCCCCCCCTCCGGTTTTTAATCTAACTTTTGCTGTCGCCTGTATAGATGCTTAAAGGGGTAAAGCACTTATTAAAAGCTATTGAAGCTTTTATGGCCTTACTGTTGCAGTTTAACGGCTTCCATCGTGAAGCAATTTGACTTTTTGCATATAAATCAACTTGACTTGTTCAGAGAATCAATACATTTCAACCTAACCTTGATGATAAAAAATTGTACGTAACAACTTACTTAATTTAGTTTAGGTTACATAATTTTAATATAGTAAAAGTTTTTATTAAAATTTAAAATATTTTGATAATTTACAAATGTCATAATATTTATATTATTTCCTTATATTATAAATAATATAAATACTATTACACTTGTCAATTTATATCATAAAAAAATATTTATATTGCTAGATAATACAGTATACAGTCATAAAAAAGGGAACACAGTGTATATATAAATATGTTTCTGCGTGAAAGTGTGAAATGTCTAGATGACGATGGCATTTTGAATAATTTTTTCCAAAATTGGAATACTTTCATCCAATGGAGCCATTTTTAACACTTAATTATCTAAAATCACTAGACAACTTTGAACTTTCCTTGATAAGTCGTTCCAAAGGCGTTCAATAGGGTATTTGCGGGAACTACATGTTTGCAGTATCCAACTAGTCAGAAACTATCCTAGTGTGGACTTGCATTAATAAAATAAACCCATTGCCAATTAATGCTACCAAAAGCTCTTCTGATCATACCTCACTGCTGTTAAGAAACCCTCGATAAAAATCAAGTAGGTGCTACTTTCCATAGAGATTCCTCCATGATTTTCCGGATTTATATCGCTTTCCTGTCTGCTCAAAACCTTTTCCAGGCCGCAGTAAAAAAGTATATCAACATGGACAACTCCGTCTGTCGGAGGTCGATGCTGAAAGAAACAAAAATGTATGTACAATGGCGACTTAATATAAACATAGGTTGCTACTAAAAATTGTAACAATAAAAAAAAACTAAAATTAATAAAGCAAAAACTAAATATGAAAATTAACTTACACTAAAGGATAAAATAAAAATTAATAAGAATAAAGGAATAAAAAGTGATCAGAAAACTGTAAAGAAAAAATGGAAAAAAGATGTAAAATCAACATTGGTTAGGAATAAATCCGGCAGGGATACAATTATGCAAAAACAGGAAATTGATTTACATTAGAATAAATTAATTTAACAGAAAAATGTAGCAATTTGTGAGAAATAACCCACTACTGTTTACTTAAAATAAATGAAATCTGTCCAGAAAAAACAACATTAAGATAAAAATTTAATTGTTGAATTAATTCATATCTGTAGTTTCAGGCGTGATGGGCATATTGGATAAGTTCTTGGTTTTTTTTACCATGTAATTAATCAAGGTGATTCTAGGCAAAATAAAACCAGGAAAATATAAAAAGCAGCAAAACAGGAAATTGATTTACATTGATTAAATGAAATTAACAGAAAAAATTAGAAAATTGTAAGAAAGAGCCCACTAATCGTTACTTAAAAATAAAAAATAAAAATTGAAATCTATGCAGAAAACGAAAAACATTAAGTTAAAAATTAAATTCCTGAACTAATTCATATCTGTAATTCCATGTGTGAAGGGCATATTCGATCAGTTCTTTTGGTTTTTTTTGTACAATTCAAGTAATTAATCAAGGTATTTCTAGGCAAATAGAAACAGCCAAATTGGAGTGGACGTATTTCATCCAGGATTGAACACTCAGCTAGAAAATTAGTAAAATGTTCCATCCCACCTGAGCTGCAGAGAGAGCAAATCCCAGAACCTTCCCTAAACCGCTGAGCCTAATTCACATGTGATAGCTCGCACCGCATTTTAAATAGCCAACGCAAATCATTTATGGAATAACCTTTCAAATTATCTTTGAAAAATCGATTAACGACAGAATGATTAAGTTCTTTACGTATCGATAAACGTGAAGATAAATGGATTTTCAAATGGCTCTCAGTACGAATTTTAAAAATTTTATTTATGAGAAGTGAGAAGTGCGATTCCCACTCGAAAATATGTTTTAAAATAGGAGAAAATATTATTTCATATTTCCGGAACATAGCTGCCAGTGAGCAAACCAACACAATTCATTTTTAATAATTGAGATGGCCGTTAATCTGGAGAGATTTCAAACAGAAAACGTATATACTAATATATACGTATGTAAGACGTTATAATTTTAAAAACGAATGAAAATACTTCAAGGTGTAATTAAAAATTATTTGGAGAACCTGAGATTCGGTCTGGTGTGACGTGACGTAGGTTTTAGAAAAACACTTTCTTCATCGTGCCAACGTTTCGATCTTTATTGAGATCATCTTCAGGGCCTGGGATTTATAAACATTGTTTAAATTATACCAATGTAGCAACATGTAGCATGTGAAAAAAATGAATTTCTAGCATTGTATAGATTCATTAACTAACGTGGCCTGATTGTAAGAGACTCTAAAGTTGATGATGGGTGTTGGTCTGCAAGTCGGTGAAGTTATGCTGAATCAGTTTAGGGCCATTTATAGCGTCCGTCTTCATTCGCAGGTGTAACTTATAAATTCCATATTATGATTATTCGGAGATCTTGAGATGCGGTCTGGTGTGACGTAGGTTTTAGAAAAACATTTTTTTTATAGGGCCAACGTTTCGAGCTTTATTGAGATCATCTTCAGGGTCAGGGATTTACAAACATCGTTTAAATTTAACAAATACATGTAAGATAAGGAAAAAAAGTGAATTTATACAATGCAAAAAAAAATATTATATTCAATCAAAGTATTCAAGTTGAGAGTCCAGTGAGATACTCTCAACACGGCACACAAGTATGGCACGATTACGCAGAAAACAAACACTTTAAGTTAGTACAAATACTTTGATTGGATATAAAATTTTCTAGCATTGTATAAATTCATTTTTTCCACATCCAACATGTGTTTGTATAATTTAAACAAAGTTTATCAGCAAAGTTATAAATCCCAGTCCCTGAAGATGATCTCAATAAAGATTGAAACGTCGCATGATAAAGTATCCGGTAGTCCACAGAAACTAATGGGAAGTTTCGCTCTATACGACTTTTATTCGTCTGTCGTCCAACGAAGCAACTTATTTAGATTACTATAAATATAATTTTATGTTGTTTGGCGCTTTGAAGTATATTATTTTATTATTTATAGGCATCATATATCTAGAATTTGAATAGGAAATAATGATATATCTCATTCAAGAGAGAGCAGTCTTATGGTAAAAGTCTAAAGAAATATATAAGGATAGAATTGCCACGAAAATAACGTGGGACGAAGTTTTCTTGACATTAAAAGAGAATTTCCACTCATTGGATGGAAAGGAGAAGAACAGCTTGCAGTATAGTTCATTAAACGATGAAATGGATATCCTGAAGTAATTATAAAATTTGGTTTCATGACGTCTTAATTCCTGAAAAAGATTTCAATACACCCAATACATCCTTCCTTTGATTTATGGGATGGACCCTATGAACGCGACTTGATTTTTTTTTCGATCTCGCAAACGACGGTAATGTTACCAAAGGGATATTACACGTCTCCGGTTCATGATGCAACAAGCGTGGTAATCCAACGACACCGGCGAATTTTCGGACGACACGACTATTACCGGCCAGTCCGCCAGTGTACCACGATAACATATCGTCCGATTTTTTATCGCGCGACAAAAGTCGTCCAGTGTGAAAGGGGCTTACATTCGTAAGCAATGGCGAATAGTTAGTTATTAAGTGGCACTCAGAAGTAAGCTTGCCTCAATGTCAATTGAGCCATGAGTACAACGTCAACTGCGAACTTGGAAGTGTGGTTAAACTTCCATCGTTCTACATTCTAATCCAAGAAGGAGTCATAAACTACTACCATATGCCAGGATAGACCATGTCAACGAACCATGGAAACTGAAAGACTCCAAAAGATAACTTCACCAACAAGTAAAATATTCATATCGTTAACAGAAGAATGGGCCAAAGGAATACCTGTAGGTCAATAACTTCTAGGACACGTGTGTACGGCTCAACAACGGATAGAAACCTGGAATCCTCGGGATGAAATGCAATAAAAAGTAAATAAAAGTAAAATAAATAAAAAGGCAAGGAATTCCACTAAGATAGATATTTTTTCAGACAGTCAGGCGGCAATTAAAGCCTTTAGTATCAAGCAAGTCAAAGGCCCAAAGCCAAGTGACTGGCGAACGTTTGGCCGTATGTTATTTACATCAGTATTTATATGAATACATTAAACCAAAATTAGTTCATTCGCTAAAAAATAATTATTTAAATTGGGGCGTCGGTGGCCGCAAGGTTTAGTCTTTGACACGGCGCTCATCTCTGTAAGGTAAAGGTCCCGGGTTCGAATCCAGCGGCCCTGCATTCGAACCCGACATACTTACAAATGGGCTTTTTTTCAAAAACACCGGCACCCTGAGGGTTTATATGACCTCTGCTGTTGCGAACCCTCGTAAAAAAAAAAAAAAAAAAAAAAAAAAAAAAAAAAAAAAAAAAAA